TGAATCATGGTGCCCAACATAACTTATTTTAACCTCATGTTGTGGTCCTTATTTGCCTTGTACATGCTCCTTTTTTGTTATTTCATACATTTAGTAATTTGGTATCACTATACCAAACAAATAAGTAAAGTTATGAGCAAGACAATTCTTAATCATGTCATCCCAACTATCAATATATCACATAGAGCAACTAGAGTGATCCTACAACACACTTTGGTTCTTTTCATCTCTCACAGTTTAAGCCTCGGTGTGGGTAGTCCAATCCCTAGTCCCCTTAAACTATGGCTATCATACCAACTTGTAACACACGTTCCTTTTTACAATATCTATAATAATATTTCAAGTAGTTTTCTGAAAACATTATAACATATTTCAAAACCCATGTTTAACAAAAACCATGAATTCAATTTTCAAAACATAATCCACGTATGTACAAACATATCAAACCCTTACTATAAGTAATTGTCACACCCCCGGTAGGCGGCGGAAATGCCGGGCTGTGCGACGTTGTGATGATGATACACAGTTATTGAATATATTGAACAACACATAAAAGATATAACATAACCATTATTTTTATTAATTTTACAAGGGGTTACATCATCGTTCTTGGTACAAGCATAGATTAACGACACTAAACAATAAAAGAACAGATAAGCAGACACTTCCTTCATAACTCATTCCTTCACCTTGTTACCTCCACAACTCATTTTCCTGAGAATACATGCGGTTTGAAAACGTCAACGTAATGTTGGTGAGGTCATAGGTTTTTGTAGTTTTATACTTAAAATAGTTTTGAGTCTTTTAGATTCTATTCTTTATGACTTTTCTTTATCTTTTACTTATTGTTACATATTATTTGCTACCTTAAGGCGTTACCCTCTCAGTAGTTTTATTTCATTAAGGTTGTTGGGCAATTGTTACAATGAGTTTCTATAATCGAGCTTTTGACTAGATATTTTCCCTACACAACGTTTCATTGGACGTTGTAATGTAGTTTAGAAAGTTATGTCTGCTCTGACTTTACCATAAGGTGTTGTAGCTAGCAACCACATGTGGGAGTGTCAGTCTTGTATAGATCGATACATATATTTCCCGCTCACTTAAGATTTAACGATTATAGGTCGAGGTTAGCTGAAAACTAATCAACTAAAGGATGAATTATCGTTCCTCATTTAACAACTGCTTTGTTTAACCTTATAGTATGTTTTATCGTTCTTGTTATCTTTAATTTTCCTTGGATATGATTTTCTTCCATATATATATATATATATATATATATATATATATATATATATATATATATATATATATATATATAATTATCGTAGTTTTTGATATTCTTGATTGGATATTAGGGTAGAGTAACAACTAAGTATTTTGCTTATCCTTATGGTTTGGCCATCCTAACAACTAGGTATTAAGTTACCCTATAGTATCTTCCAGTATAACGACTAAATTATCATATAGTTTTGGGTAGAGTTTCTACCAGGCATGATACTAGCCTATGGTTTTGAGCAGCATAACGACTAGGCATAATATTATTCCTAAAACTTTGGCATGGTAACTACCAAACATAATATCATCCTAACGTTTCATGCATTTTGTAAACTATTGATATAATACAAATAATAATATTTTGTAAAATCAATAGTATAGTATTATAATAATATTTTACGCGCGCGCGTAAAAGTGGGGCCATGAACTCACCCTAGTAGTGTGAATCGTGGAAGTAGGGTAGCTTTGGGATTCGGGAGCTCAGAGACCCCACTTGCGATCTTAAGGCGCGTGGAATAGAAGGAGAGAGTGATCTTTGAGAGGCATGCAAAACAGGGTCTGCGAGCACTTCTATTTATAATTGAGCTTTGGACTGCGCGACATTCTCTTTGGGGTGCGCGACTTGCTCTTTGGGTGCGCGCCGCGCAATGTGCATCATGGCTCCAACCGGGCGTTGCCACATGCCAATCCCTCGCTTGGCCACGCCATCCGCAATCTCCGCGAATCTGATGTTAGTGTGCGCGAGTGTGCGCGCCAAGCATAGCGTCTGGCGCGCGCACATAGAAGATTTTGTAAAACGCGCACATAAAATATTTTGCAAAATTTATATCTTTTACGTGCGAGCTCCGATCTTAACCCTCTTTATACCCACGCGATACTCTCGACTAATACTACAACTCTCCTTAGGTTGTTTTGGCAAAATTTAACTTTTATCTTTTGGCCTAACGGTGTATCCATAAATGATTTTATAAAAATCATAACTTCCTCGTACGGACTCCGATCTTGATGTTTTTAGTCTCAAAATTCTTATATCGAGGAGTACTACGACTTTCTTTTTTGTGGCATGACCGAAACTTAACCGATCTCTTCATACTATTTTTACGTCGTAAAAATTAACTACGTTGTTGATTTTTATTTCTAGTAAATGCCATAAGTTCTTCATGTGAAGTCGATTTTTCACGAAATTTATATTTTTGGAATCACGCCGCCATGTACTTCCCGTATATGTGTAAGGACGCATTTGAATATATTTATCAATATAATATAGTACTTACATTGTTGCCCAATTACATTTGTTTGGCTTTCCTAACGGTGGTCGTGACGTATTTTCTTCGGTTGGCACAGTAACAAGAGCAAGATAAAACAAAATTACGCCTGGTCCATGTCCTTCTTGTTACAATCATCTCACATCTACCACTTTGAACCTGAACCTAGAATACATGGAAAACATATATATCAGACAAACTAGTCTAGTGAGTCATAACAATTTCAAACATAGAATCAAACAAACATTTGTCAAGAAGTAAACCCTCCTTGATAACTTGCCCTATTAGAAAGTACATCCACCTAACATAGTCTTTGCTAGAGAGTAAACCCAACCCAAGGTTACAAGGAAGTAAAACCTTACTGAAACCCCATTTGCATAAGTAACCCCCCTCCTGACAAGTCTTTCTTGTTAGGAAGTAAGTCAGTAACCCCTTCCTAACAAGTCATTGAGACCCTTGCTTCGCGATCTAAGTTACTACCCCAACAGGTTCTCACTTGTCTACTACCACATTCCCATTTTCACAACCAATCAAATATTCAATGCTAGCATTTATCAATAACATAATCTTATATCAAAAAAAAGAAAAAAAGAAGCATACTGACAACCGAGTATCCCACTCGTCAATTACCTACAATGTATTCCTAACAATTAAATACATATGACTCACTTGTCATACTAGTGGACACTAACCAATTTCTTCTTTTGGTAAACTCCTATTTCCTCTACTACTATAACCTGTTTCATTAGTTCTCAAGTTTCTCAGAATTTGCCACAATTCACCAAAAGCTAAATTATTCGATCTAACAATAGTGATCGTTAACCGATCACTCCTTGGCCATGGTAACTATCGGTTACCAGATCAATAAGTTTACATAATCTAGGGTTCATAACCCTTATCATACTTACGCAAAAATATGAAATAAGAGGATACCTCGACTCGTTCAACTTATGTACCCTCATATCTTCTAACCACAGTTTACTTTGTCATATTGTCGGTTGTTATCACAAGCTTTCGATCTAGTTTTCCATAAAACAACCACCGAATAGCATGTTTACCCTATTTACACATTGATGAACCACAGATGACGCCTCGTGTAAAATCCTTGGATCCACGTATCGATTTCAGAAGACGCCACAACTCAACACTTGTTGTCTGTTTATCTATGTATCACTTTGCATCGCCATGTGTCACATGCTTCCGAAACATGTCTACTACATCAAATCATCGCATCATTGTATCCATGTTTCACATTTGTTTCTTTAACATGGTGTGTATGTTATCCTATGCATCACGTTTCTTTATTTATAGCATGCACTTTACACAACATAACTCTTTATTTTCATAATAAAAACCTATTTTCATATCCATATTAATATTATTTTATTACATTACTTCATTCAAAATTATGGGTCATTACAAAAGATTTGCATCGTTTTGCCAGATCTAATGACCATATATGATGATTGTTTGTAGGGAAGGGGGAATAAGAAGGGAGATGGAGACAAGGTCGAGGATGCTCCAGAAGATTGAGGTTCGGTAGAGAGGATATGGGTGGAAGTTGGGTCCGATAATGGAGAAAAAGCATCAGGAATACTAGAGAATGGAGATGGTTCATCATCACCAGGAATGAATGATTCATAGACATTAGAAGGAGTAGGAGAATGAAAATCAGAATAGGGAAAATGGATTTCATCAAAGATAACATCATGTGAGATGAGTACCTTCTGAGTGATGAGATCGAGGCACCGATATCCATAGTGATCAAGGGAAGGGTCAATGTAGACACAAGCTGAAGAGCAAGGAACAAGCTTGTGTGCTGCAGTGGAGGTGGTGTTTGGGTAATAAAGGCACCCAAAACATGTAAGTAAGTATAAGAGGGAGAGAAACCAAAAAGTATCTTAAACGGAGTTCAGAACTTTAAAGTAGTGGTAAGGAGAAGGTTGAAGTTGTGTGCAGGGGAAAGAAGGGCTTACACCCAAAACATAGGTGGGAAGGAAGCTTGGATTAGAAAGGTATGAATAGCGTTTTTTATAGTGTGAATGGTTCGTTCAGCCTTTTCCAATTTGTTGAGACGTGTAAGGCCAGGAAAAACGAATTTTGATGCCATTAATATTGAAAAAATCGAAATTCACGAGCATAATCACACTGAAAAAGTTGTATGCCAGTTTTAAACTGATTTATGACATAGGCACGCAAGTTTTAAAAAAAAAAAAACAAAACATCATATTTCGTACGCAAAGGGAACACCCACAAAGATGAGAGAAAATGTCCAAAAATAAAATATAATAATTGAAACCACTAAGACTCGTGACCGGAGAAGTTCATAGGTCAGAGTTAATTAGTTCAAACACACGGAGACGTTCTAGTAGAAGATAAATTAAATGGTAAATGACAATGTTTTCCTAATTGGAAAAACATGACATAAAGAGGAGCTATGACTACAACAAGAGACAAATGTTCGATGATGCCACATATCATACGATGTGGAAAGAAGCGCAGAACCAGAGTCGGACCATGGTGATGAAGGAAGGACTGGAGATCACAACCATGTAACTCAGCGTGTCTATGATAAGATCCTTCACCGTGAAACCAAAAGGATCAAACTCAACAGAATTCCAATTATCAATACAAAAACGACAAACATAAATAATAAGTATTTTTAACCATTTTATAGGAAACAGGGACATTGGAAAGTACTAGACGTTTATGGGAGATGGTTGTGGTGGTGCGATAACAGCAGAGGAGTGAGAACTGAGAGCATAGGTCGATGGTGATGGTACCAAAATTGTTAGATGCTCCAAAATATGCATGAAATTGTCCCGGTGTTCCTTGAGTGCCTGAAAAAAAAATTGGAACAAGAGGAAACGTTAGTATTACAATATATAGTGATACAAGTTATATTCCATTCCTATACTATACATTCATACTATACTTTCGTATTTATAACAGACATAACTATCTAACACTAATTCTTTATATGTTTTGAAAGTATAAAAATCATCTTTAATAAATTGTAGTGTGGGATCTAGAAATATTACCTCATCAAGCGAAGAGAGCAATTCCTTTGGCACCTTCTTCAGGGAAGGGATCTCCGGGAAATATGTCCCAAGAGCTGTATTTGTCGACCTTGAACCAACAGTCATGATGAAGTAAGAACCGGAAGCTACAAGAAACTATTCAATCCCAAAAATCTCATCTCCGGTAAGGAGGATGCCGCCAATAACTTCGCCAGAGGACATTACACCGGTAATTCACTTTAATTTTGAATTTTTACATCACTTTTCATCTCCTCGATTTTGATCATTGATATGAATATGATCATATAATGTATTTACAGTCGGGAAAGAAGTTGTGGATCAGTGTTTAGATCGGGTGAGAATCTTAGCAGACAATTGCAGTAATTTGCAAGGGTTTATGATCTTCAATTCTGTGGGTGGTGGAACTGGCTCTGGTTTGGGATCATTGCTCTTACAACGCTTGTCTAACGAATATGGAAAAACTCAGAAAATTGGGTTCACGATCTATCCATCTCCCAAGGTAACGAATTCCAAATTAACTTGTCCTAATTTTCGTGTTCTGATTTTCATTGTGAAATTGTAGGTTTCGACTTCAGTTGTGGAGCCTTACAATGCTGTGTTATCGACTCATTCATTGATTGAACACACAGACATTGTTGTGCAACTAGACAACGAAGCCATATATGGGATCTGTAAGAGAGCGTTGGATATGGAAAAGCCAACTTACAGGAACTTGAATCGATTGATATCTCAAACGATTTCATCTTTAACAACTTCCTTGAGGTTTCCTGGGTCCATGAATGTTGACATTTCCGAATTCCAAACGAATTTAGTCCCGTTCCCGCGGATTCACTTCATGCTTTCATCATACGCACCAGTGGTTTCATCGGTGAAAGCCTATCACGAGCTGATTTCAGTTCCAGAAATCACTAACGCCGTGTTTGATCCGTCGAATATGATGGCGAAGTGCGATCCACGGCGGGGTAAATACATGGCTTGTTGCTTAATGTATAGTGGAGACATTGCTCCAAAAGACGTTAACACGGCCGTCGGAGCCATCAAAACCAAAAAAACGATTCGATTTGTCGATTGGTGAGTTTAATCGCGTTGCATTTTATCTAGATCTGAAGAACGATGGAATGTTACAAATGTTGATTTACCTCTACATTTTTCAGGTGTCCGACGGTATTCAAGTGCGGGATAAACAACCAGGCTCCGTCGGTGGTTCCTGACGGAGATCTGGCGAAGGTGAAACGAGCAGTGAGTATGATCAGCAACAACACGGCGGTGTCAGAGGTTTTCAGTATGATCAATCATAAATTCGATGTTATGTTCGCGAAACGAGCGTTCGTTCATTGGTATGTCGGTGAAGGGATGGAAGAAGGCGAGTTCTCGGAGGCGCGTGAAGATCTTGCAGCTCTGGAGAAAGATTACGAGGAAGTGTTGCAAGATGGCATGGAAGAAGATGAGGACCAAGGATATTAGTACTAACTTTCCATGGCGGCAAATCTCACGTAAATGACTAATATGTCCTTGGATATGGGCGTCAATAGTATATACTTATATACCTGCTTAAAGATGACATTATGTAACCTCTATATATTTCTTTATATTAATTAATTTGGGTTTATAATTTTTTTTTATTTGATGCATACGTTATAATAATAATAATAATAAAGATAGGATAATACATTATTATAAATTTATAAATTTGTAGTATACATAACTTGAGCTATCCATGCCACTGCAATTTTACTGCTTTTTTAACTGGCATATTAGTTTTGCAATTACATATGCATCGGTATTAGTATAAGACCCTCATTCTTATCTTCAATCTACGTCAACAAATAAATTAAAATGTTACTGTCCCTATCCTTCTCACTCACATAAATTGTCAAAACACACATACTATTACATTCACATGAGATACACAAAGCAAATTGAGGGGATATATATAGAATTTCCCATAATTTATACTTCTAATGATTGTTTTTATTTGTACAGTAGTAAATTAACATGATTATGATTATGTATTATTTAAATTATGATAATTGTAGTAATACAAACTAATCAAACAATAATTATTATTTAACCAAAAAAATATCAAAGAAAACGTTTTCAGTATAGAAATTATATTATGAGAAAATAATAAATATAGCCATTAATCAACCTTTTGCGCCAAAAAATAACAAAATATTCAGGATTTCCGAAAATGGCCATTGAGTTCGAAAAAGGCCTTCTACGGACTCAACATATATTTAAAGGATCATATTTCAGATTTGGTTTTACAGTCCGCAAAAGAACGGGTCTAAAAAAACTTCTCTATGAACTCGCTTTTAGAGGATTCGGTCTGTAGAAGCCAATGTTAAAAAACGAGTTTGTAGAGATTTGAGTTGACCTCTACAAACTCAGTATATGTATTGTGAACTCGATACAATAGTAACAATTAGATATGTATCATAGATTAACAAAAAAATACTAAAATACTGAGAAATCAAAGTCTATATTAGTATTAATTTTGACTATTTATTCTCATATAAAATGGTAGAAATTATACATAAACAAGTTTTTTTTCTCATATAAAATTTTAAAAATTTTAAAAAACAATTTCATTTTTTTCTCATAAAATGGTTTTTTTTTCCTCAAAAAACCATTACTTTTGATTCGTCATAGTTATGAGCCAACCTAGCTAAAAGGCAAAAAAAAATCGTCAACCCAACCCAAAATTAACCAATTAGGTTGGAATTTTCAGCTCGTTTAAATTGAACATATGTTAAAAACATTTAAATAAAAATGCAATATATTTGAAATTTCCAAACATAATTTAAATATAATAGTTATTTTTAATTTATATCTATTTAATATACATATTTAGTATTTTTAATTCCTTTTTTATTTAATTAACCAATTGGCTCGATTTCATCTTGCATTCTCACTTTGTTGATTCATATAGTCGAACCCAAACTAAACTCCTTAGTCCTCACTCACGACCTCAGCCTTGTTGATGAACAGGTTCTAAGGGAGAGTTTTTTTCATATATTTAGTGGAGTCCATAGACTTCAACCAATACCAAGAGTTTGTTTAACCATTTTGGTTGGACCCAAATCACCATATGTAATATTTAGCATTTTTAAATTATGAAAAAAGCCTAATAAAAAAGTTTCTTATTGTAAATATATTTTGAGCTTTTTGTTTGTTTGATGTGGCAAGATAATTTGTTGAAGTGGCATGAAAAAACATAGCCAAATAGCTTTCCTGTTATGGATGCTTTTATATATGAAGACATCGTTTCTAATGTTATTTGAACACATTATTTTTAATATTGGACTTTGTAACTTATGTAAATAGGTGCACACTTTTTTCTATTTTAGTTAAACATGTTAGAGTTTAGAAAATACTAATAAATAAGTCTGGTCAACATTTATTTAACAGATTGAGTTGGATCCGAAAATCTCATCCATTTCATCAAAAGAGTGCCAAAACAAAAGACAAACTCTCAAGTTTCAACATATATTTGATTAATAACAAAAAAATAAAAGCAAAAAAAGGTATATCAAAACAAATGCAGATACTTTCTCTGTAACTCAAAATCCATAACAAAACAACCAATAGTTTTGATAACTAATTGTTTTTCATGAAATACCAATACATCCCAACACCCAAAATCGACTTCTCTAACATTATCAAATCTTCTTTAACGATTAGCCTTAGCAACCCTCTCAATCTCATCTTTCTTCTTAATAGCATAACTACATAAACATCAAAAACAAAATCAATACATCATAAACAGTAAACAAAAACATAATTAAACAATGAAATACAAGTCTTTACCTGTTTGAAGATCCCTTTGCAGCATTAATAAGCTCATCAGCAAGACATTCAGCAATGGTCTTAACATTCCTAAATGCACTCTCACGTGCACCAGTTGTAAGAAGATAAATTGCCTGATTCACACGTCTTAATGGAGAAATATCAACAGCTTGACGCCTAACAACACCAGCTGAACCAATTCTAGTTGCATCTTCTCTTGGTCCACTAAAAAAAAGAAAAAGAAAAAGAAAGATGAGCTTTGGAAAACTTCATGGAGCTTTTAGATGAGTAGGGTGATTCTGTTTCCTACCTGTTAATGACAGCATCAACAATGATTTGAATTGGATTGGCATCAGTTAAAAGATGGATGATTTCCATGGCGTGTTTGACTATGCGAACAGCCATCAACTTTTTACCATTGTTTCTTCCGTGCATCATGAGGGAGTTTGTCAAACGCTCAACAATTGGGCATTGAGCCTTTCTGAATCTTCTGGCTTGGTATCTACCTGCAGTGTGAGGCATGTAGATTGGGTGCTTGGAAGCAGTTGCAGTGATGTAATCTTCGACAGAAAGATCAGAAACCTGTAAATGAATCCAATGAAGAACATAGATAATGTAAATAATCATGCGGATGATGGATAACATATGAAAACTGTGTTGTCGATTGTGAAAATGTCAAGCAAATCAACCTATCGAAAGTCAATAATCATCTGGTTTAATAGCCAACATACAAAGTATATGAATAATAACGAGCAGCGTTTACAAAACAAAAGGTACTAAATTGACTTTCAAATGAAGGTATCAGGGTAAATCAATTAACTAAAAGAATGTCGAAGAAAACCAGATTGTAGGAATGTGTATTGATAATTGTAGTATAGATCTGTTAAGAAATGAACCTGAACGTCATCGTAAGTCCAACGATTGAACAGCAATACTTCGCAGTGAGCCTTATCGTCTTCAGCAATAGGTGGTATGGTCGCCATTCTTAAAGGAAAGAAAACTGAGATTAAATTCGGTACATCAAACAAAGTATAAAAAAAATATAAGGATAATTAGGGTGATTAATATACAGTAACTAGTAAGCAAACCTTGGATTGAGGATTGAGGAGGGGGCGAATGGCGAGGGGAATGCCGCTGGTGTTGTGTTTTCGCTGAGATCTTTCGGACGTTGATGACGATGACAAAACCCTAACTAGGTTTATATCAGATAACGGGGCTCTTTATTGGGCTTATTTATGGCCTGTTTAATTTATAGTGGGTATATATTTAATAAGTTAAGATGTGTTAAGAGCTAATGACATTAAAATCCTCAAATTTCACGAAACTAATAGATTGGTCCAAAGTTTGAATTTATGTCTCTTTTTGCCTCAAAATTGAATTAAACTGGTCGTTTTTGCCTATTAACTGATTTCTTTTAATCAACCGGTTACCACTTGCTTAGTTGGAAGGCTCATTAACGTCGTCGTTTGAGAGAAAACTCCAAGTCTGTTACGGACGTTAAATTGTCGCATCCTCATCCTCCCTCTATATCCCGATCACTTCTCACCTTTTCCCATTTCGTCGACTGAAATTTTGTATACACAGAGAAAAGTTTTACAAAACAGGATTTTCATGGAGACGATTAGGGTAAAATTGTTCTTCAAAAGGTAAGGTTTTTACAGGTTATGATCTTGTTGTGTTTACATTCAACATTTCTTTAAATGGGTTCCTAAACTTATTGTGTTTATGCAGGAGGGTGTAAAAGAGGCAACGACTGTGATCGCGCCACGTCACCCAAACTCGCACAGCACCCTCCCGACTTAGAAATATCATAACTCTCGCATACGAGCTCCGTTTTCGACGTTCTTTTTTTCCACGCGTAGGTAAAAACAAGATCTACAGCTTTCATTTGGATTCCGTCGGCTAATTCTCGACCGATCTTAAATTTAACAGTAGGATGAGATTATACTGTTAAATGACGGCGAAAAATTCGTAACTCCTTCATACGGACTCTGTTTTCATCTGTCTTTTTACCGTTGAGTTCCTATTAATGAGATATTCAACTCTCATTTAGGTCGCGTAAGCCAAAAAAAGCTCGAACTAAAATTCGAGTTTCGGTCCGTGCACTCCTATGCCAAATCTTAGAAAATTCATAACTTCCTCATACGAAATCAGATTTGGCGTTCTTTTTTTGTATGTTCTCAGTTTAACGTATAATACAACTTTTGTTTAGATCCCTAAGGCTAAAAAAGTCTTCTATCGCAAATTCACTATTTACGTCTCCCGTTGCCGTGCCGGTTTTGCCGTAAAACTTCGACGGACCATAACTTCTTCGTTATAATTCGGATTTCGGCGTTCTTTATATGTACGGAACCCTTGTAACATATACTATGACTTGGTTAAGATTATTCATTCTAAATAATATTCTATTAAAAAGTCATTTTTCATGTTCTTTGTCTCTAAATTGACTAGCCTGGATCTGTGGGCGTTACAGTAGTTATATCAAATCAACATAAAGTAAGTTTCTTTATGAAAGAACCCCTTTCTAAACTTTCGTTTTTCTGAAAGACCCAAACTTTCATACTTGACAATTGTTACTCCAAAACATGCTACATGCATATTTATAAAACAATATCTTATATTGATAAAGTGATTACAAAAGATTAGATACAAACCGACCATGTTTTAATATTTTACATAACTACCCAGGATATTGTAATTTTATACAAACATAAACCGAAATACAAAAGTAATAGTAAAAAAAACTATTCTACATCTTCCGACAGTATATAACCATATTGGTTACTTATCTCCTGCAATTGTTAAACACTGAGAGGGGTAAGCGGTGACGCTTAGTGAGTTCAATAATAGATACAATATAACATTAGGCCATATATATACTTCAATATGGCAGAAGCAAAGAGGAACAAGGAACAACAAAGGCGTATGTGAATCATGAGACAAACTTTCCATATCAATCAATGATTTGATTCAAAGATATACGATCAATGAGACATGACAATTTCTATACTTGATATACACCAATAAAGCTTCGGCCCAAATGGCACAGAAGACATACACTTTCTGATTTAAACATTTCGGTAGATTTCATGCTTATAGCCTTGTCTAACCATCTGCCAATGCCATCGAATAGAAGTCATTCTCTTACGGAGACATGCTCTACATGGCCAGAGGCTACGTACCAGTACCACCGTGAATCTAAGTCCTTTCACTGATCACATGGTCAAAGGTATAACTTTGCTATCACAAATAGCATAAATAAAAATCACACGGGAAAATAACCCAGAATAATAACACTAAAAAGCACATAGCACATATAACACATAACATACAATTGTTCCTATATATTAAACTCACCGTGGAATAACCGGGGGGTAAAAATAGTAAATTGGGCAGCACTTCGGCTCTAAATATAACTTCCTTCGTTGAAAACCGGGAGATTTATTGATGACGACGCACAATTTATTTATTAAGTCCAGTCCGATGTCATTGGCCGCGTACCAATAACATCATACTGGGGGGACTTGATAATATATGGTCCATTAGCATGGCCTAGACCACTCTAGCGCGCCAGCCTGGCCTGGCGCGCTCCTGCCAGCCCCGTCTGGCGTTCCCTCGCCAGCCTTGCTGGGGACTCCCTTGCCAGCCTTGTTGGGGACTCTCCTGCCGACCCGGCCTGGTGCTTCCTTGCCTAGCGAACCTTGCCAGTCTTTCCTGGTGCGCGCCCGCCAGCTTTGCCTGGGGCACGCCCGCCAGTCCCGCCCGGTGCCTCCGGGCGGCCTTGCCCAGCTCCTTGCTAGTTGGGCCTGAATTAGGCTGGCCCAAGGCCTGTCCTAATTCTCCTTGACCTAATTGTCCACTATAAATAGAATAGTGCCTCCTCCATGAGGGAGGACTTTTCCCCGAGGGCTTTTACCTAGGACCCTTCCCTTGGACTCTTCCTCTGGCCTCAGCCTTCACCCTATACTTCCTCCATGGCTCAGCCGCCACTATACTCTGGCCGGGTGGTTCAGCCGCCACCCACCGCCGTCAGCCACCATACACCACCACCAACACCAAGACGGTTCTCTCCAGCTATGGAGGACTATCTCAGATATATAAGCTGATCTAACTTGATCGTCGGAGTCCGCTCCCGGGGCACAGTCCCTGGGACGGCTCTAACGGCCTTGTCTGTTGTGACCTCGCAGATCCGTCTCCGGCGTAGAAGCACATCCTCAAAGCAGGTGGTCGGGGCCGATGTCGCATCACTTGGCGCCATCCCGGACTTGAACAAGCAGCCATCACCTTGTTCTTGCCTAGATCTGTTCAGATATGTTGCATTTTAGCTCAGGTTTGCTCAGATCTGCTCATATTTAGCACTATTTGTTCAGAGCCATTGGCTCTTGCCAAGATCTGTTCAGATCTGATTAGCCACCCCTCAGATCGCTTGATCTGATGTGTTATATATTTCAGATCTCTTTATCTGCTTAGTGATTTTGTTCAGATCTGTTTATTTTTTGCCAAGATCTGTTCAAATTTTGCTTCACCATCTTTTAGATCTGTAGATCCATCACGTTTTTTAGTCCAGATCTATGGATCTATATGATTTCCTTCGCTCAAACACGCCCCAAGTTTGCAAAAATCTTCTTAGAATCGTTTTTTGGTTCATATTCCGAGGGTTTCTTGAGTAGGATGAAGAGAAAAGAAATTTTTATGAGTTTGTCATTCAGATCAATTGATCTGCTTAGTTTTTCGTATAAATCTTTTGATCAGCCTATTTTTTCGCTCAGATCTCAAGATATGTTAAGTTCTTAACTCATCTGAACATTTATGAAGCTTGCAAAGACATTTTAGATCTATCAACGTTTTTAGCTTATATCTTCAGATCTGTACGTTTTTGTTCACTTATTCACCTTTCAAGTTTGAAAACACCAATTCAGACCCGTTTTTACTTGTGTTTTCGGGGAGAGAAGAGGTTCTTTCGACCATTTCTCCATTTTTATTCATATTTTGGTGTTTTATGGAACCAACTTGAGAGTTGAAGAACTTTTTAGTAGATATTTACTTTATTTTCAGTTTATGTTGCAAAGAAATCACCTTCAGTTTATAATTTTCTTTGCAAGACTTCTTTGAAGTTGTATACTTAGTGTTTCTCTTCAAATTTAGAGAAAGAAAGCGAGAAATTTTCAGTTTTGTTCCTTGTTCATGTTCTGATGTCTTGTTGAACAAGTTGAAAAGAGAGCGAAAATTTATCAGATATGTTTCTTTTTCATCTTTCAATGGCTTGTTGAGCAAGCTGAAGGGAAAAAGAAAGTTTTATAAGAAGAAAACTTTGTCAAATCCGTTTTCGTTTATATTTTGGGGGTTTCTCCCAGTAAGTTGAAAAGAAAAGAAGTGTTTTATGAATTTTATCCCATCTTTTGTTCATACATTATCCGAAAATCCTTCTCTAGCTGTGCATTCCCATATACATGCTTATCCACTGTAACAATTATTTGTACATACAGCCATATGGCTTGTACATTTTACAGAACCTTCACAGAAAAAAAAGACGGGAATAAAAGTTTTGATAAGTTTTAACCCACTTTCAATCCACGTATTCTTCAGAAAATCTCATTTTTATGATTTTTTGTAGGGAAATCTCCAGAAAAGTCTTAAAATTTTACCCTAATTTACGAAAAAGTCCCAAACTAAATTTTGTTTACGAAAAAGCATGAATTACCGGTAAAAATGGCGATTTGACCCTTTTTTCCGGTTTACCGGTTTTATTACTTACCTGTTTCACTAAAGTCCCATTATTTTACCCTAATTTGCGACTAAGTCCCAAAATAAAATTTACTGATGATTTGGCCATTTTCTCTATGTAACATACATTTTACCGGTTTCATTGCTGACCCGGACGCCTAGTCATTATATGAGATGATGAGATGGATATGTTGAGTTATATAATGCTATGTTTAGCATAAAACTTGATATACTGATGTATTGTATATCTTTTTGGAACATAAAATGCATCCAACGAAGACTACAATAATTACATAAACTAACAACAACTGCGTTATTTTTTACGTTTATAAGAAATATCAAATTGTCTATCTAATCTTATGTAACCCAATATATCCATCTCATGAGACATCAACTCATTTTCTGCCATTTTTCTTGGAAACACACATTTTATTGGTTTCATTGCTGACGTAGATACATAGTCATAAATGAGCCGATGAGATGGATATCAAATTTTATAATAAATGTGGCATTATATAACCCATCGTATTCATCTTATCAGCTAATTTAATGACTAGGTGTCTAAATCAGCAATGAAACCGATAAAATGTATGTTACATGAAGAAAAGGGTCAAATCATCAGTAAATTTTATTTTGGGACTTATTCACAAATTAGGGTAAAATAATGGGACTTTAGTGAAACATGTAAGTAATAAAACCAGTAAACCGGAAAAAGGGGTCAAATCGCCATTTTTACCGGTAATTCATGCTTTTTCGTAAACAAATTTTAGTTTGAGACTTTTTCGTAAATTAGGGTAAAATTTTCGGATTTTTCTGGAGATTTCTCTTTTTTGTAAATAAAATTTCTTAAAGTTTTTTAGAAACTTAAAGAGAAAAATTGGATATTTATGAACTTTCTCAAACTTTAAGAAAACTCAATTTCCATCTGAGTATGGATTTTTACCTAGGGTAAAATTTTCGGATTTTTCTGTAGATTTCTCTTTTTTGTAAATAAAATTTCTTAAAGTTTTTTAGAAACTTAAAGAGAAAAATTGGATATTTATGAACTTTCTCAAACTTTAAGAAAACTCAATTTCCATCTGAGTATGGATTTTTACCATCTATTTAAACTTATATTATGAAAAATTCATTTCGGTAATGATTTAGATTTATGCGTACAAGTTTGTTTTAGTTGTAAACTCACATGTGTTATTTGTACATTCCAAAACCCATTAGATGACATTTTTACTTAAAATATTTTACCCCATCTTCTTTTACAGTTTTACTGTTATTATGTCAGTAAAAAAAGTTGTAAATTGAAAAGAAAGGTATATAGCGTTACCAGAATCACCATCCTTATAAAAAAAAAAAATTAAAAAATTAAAAAATAAAAAAAAGAAGAAGGCGTAGACAAAGAGAAAAATCTTTACAGCTCATACACTTTCTGTCTATTGCGAACAACACATAATTTTTTTTCAAAAAAAAGGGGGTATGGGTGTACAGGCTACACCACAATACTCAAAAGCTGACAAGTCAAAGCAGACCCCACATGTCTCGAAAAAGACCCACAAACGAAAAGACAAACCATCCCGATTTGCCCATCTTCTCCATTGACCCGGTGATCGGAAACGAACCATCACCACCAGCCAACCGCCGACGACAGTTCCAACATCAACAATCGCCGGCGTCAGATTCCTAATCGACTACCAACCAAACAAAGCAGCGCCACCAGCGACAGGCGCCGACCCCTGTTTCTCAATTCGTCGCCGGAGCAACGACAATCTAAGAGGGTTGCGCCGCTGCACCAACGCTATGATCTCCTACTCGGGTGACGAGCTCCAAAACTGGTCGCTGGTAGTACCATAGGTCACCATCATCATCATCGGACCAATAATAGCTTCAACACCGACCTCCATTGTCGCCGCCGGATCGCCTACAACCGATGAACGTCTTCAAAATCTAGCATCGCCGGTCGACTGCACCCACCGACCCTTTACAGTTGTGCAACTACATCTCAAATATCGGCCATTGTCGGTATCTCAAGATCGATAACAGCTGTTGGCATCTTTAAAGATCATCACCCCCAGTCCAACTCGTCGGCGCCATGAGCGGACTGTATCCTCCGAGCCATCACCGCCAACAGAAACTGCACCCAAAGCGCCACCGGCCAGCAGCTAGCAGTCGAAATCAGACCATGACCGGTCGATCCCAACAACTCCAAAACGAACCCTTCGTCGGACCACACCGTCGACCCCATATGATAGCAACTCTAATCACTGTGTCGCTCAATGTCGATCCAATAGACATACGTCGCTGGCGAAATTGCGTCTCCGATGTCCATCTATGGGTGACTAATTCCAAAGGGAAACCACCAAGGTTTTCTCAGATCGCAAACCAAAAGCTCCAGTCGGCCTCCATGCTCTCGCTCATCATCACCAAACAGAGCCACATCGCCTCCATCAGTTGCGTAGACCCCACAGCTCCATGTCGTTGGCCCAACTGCAACGCTGTTACTCCTTACCTGTGGCAATTTCGAAAAAAAAAAGAGAAAAAAAAATGATGAAAGGAAAAGAAAGAGCCTCAGCGAGCTGTAGTTGTCGATTTCCTTTTCCCTAGTAGCGGAAGGGGAAAAAAGCGGATCTCCAAAACTGATGAGCAACTAAGGGAGGGCCCATAAATTGTAACTGAGGATACCAAGGAAAATGACTTGGGCTAAAAATCCTGTAGAGGAAACGGACTCCTACAAGATTAGTGGGTTTCATCTAATCATGACCCATTATTATATTGGGCTTATTCTATAAATGGATCACAGTATTTGGGCTGCAATATTTGGGTTTTACCTATATCCGCTCCGTGGGCTGTTCAACAACGTAATAGTGGGCTATCTTTTGCAAGACAAAAAGGGTAAATAGACATGTGCTGCAATTTTATCCAACAAATCCGACATTTTCACAAATAAAAAAAAATAGCAAAGGTTTAGCACTTTGCCCCACAATCAAAGCGAATGGGCTAATTAGTCCGTAAATTGGCTCCATAAATTCTACTTTGAGTTTCTCCTAAAGTGGTCTTTTCATAGTTATGAACTACTTCAACAATTGGGGCCCCAATAGATTTATTTTAAGCTAGCATTTCATCATGTTGAGCTACCCTACCAAAAAAAATGGATCAATTTTATAAGACTACTCAGTACTCACGTGCTGCAATCCCACTAAAAAAAGAAAAAAAAAAAAGAAGAGAGAGAGAAATTGGGTGTCTCTACGCAACCAATTGGGCAGGAGAGCAACCATTTGTTTTTTCAATTTGATAAAAGAAATTGGGCCCACATGAGGATGGTTTACGTCTCAAAATAATAAAGAAAAGAGAGCAAAGATTTATTGATGCATAATATCGTTCCAAACAAAGATAATAATATAAGGTTGGGCCTAACTCTAGAAATGGGCTGAAACAATTCTACATGTGGTTTCTTATAGTTTATCTTGGAATTCTATCAAGTGGCTCCAACAGACATATTTTGGCTTCCGTCAAATTGGCATACAACAACAAAAAAATTGGGCTAACTATCTTTACACGAATGGACTGCATTTACCTTGGGCTCCTCCAAAAATGGGCCATTTCATGATGTTGGGCTATTTTTACATGCCACATGTTGCCAATTAGACGCTCCGTGACACAATTCCGTCCGACAACATATAATCTTCAAAGATATGGTGCGATCAAGATCACTCAATACTTTCAAAAAAGGAGGGAGAAGAGTAGTACGCTACTACTACTCCATGAAGCATTTTTGGATACGACCGCGATAGAAAGGCTCAAGGTCTACTTTCTCTCATCTCTCAAGTTAATATCACTTATACATTATCTCCATTTAGTAAAACTAAAATATTTACTAAAGTTTTATTATAAAAATCGTGGCATGCCTTTACCTTCAGTGAGTTAAGGTATTTATGCAAAAATACTAACCTACTACATAGTGGATACTCTTTTTACTACATCTTATGCAAAGATGTCACGTTTTGATAACTGAATTGACAAGCAATTTTCGATATAATCAAACCATTTTGTCATCATTAGTTCGCAACTACTAATTGCATGTCACTTAAGCATTTTATACAACACACAAGTAGTTTGTCTATACAAGTTTAAACAAAGACATATGCTGTGAACAATTTCCAAAATCGCATGCACATAAGCCATGTTAGCCGCCATTATCAAACATTTATTTTACCGCCATTCACATAGTATGAAGCTAGATAACTTACTATTATTGTTTACAATGGCATGTACAAACGAATGAGGCTCGAACGTGCAAGCACAAGCCAGTATCATTCTTCACCCTTCCTAAAAAAGGGAGGAGTAGAGAGGCAAGCACGACACTACATAAGTGTTATTCTTATATCGAGTAAAAAGATGAACTACATAACGAGTTGATGTTATATACAACTGTGCATCCCTGAGAAGAGATTGGTGTTATGAATGAAGAAGAAGCTTCATGGCCCAACACCAAACGTTAACCATGTTGTCTGGCTATCAGCAGCCGTGGGGGCCGGCCCCAAGCAGTCTCGAGGCCCAGCTCTCAGTAGTCGTGTTGCTTGGATCCCAGTAGTTATGATGTCCAGCTCTTCTTAGTAACCATGCAACCCATATCCCAGCAGCCATGCTGCCTAACTCTCGTCAGCTATGATGCCCAACTTTTCCCAGCAGTCGTCCTGACTGGTCTTCGGCAGTCTCTTTGATAACTCTCAGCAACCGCACTGCCCAACTATTAACATTCATGTTGACCAGCCCTCGTTAGTCTCGCTACTCAGCTCTTAGCAGTCGCGCTGACATCAACAGTCGCGCAGCCCGACCCTCAGCAGCCATGGGACCCAGCTTAGTAGCCACAGAGCCCAGTCATCAGCAGTCACGTTGCCTGGACAACAGTCCTGCCACCCAACTCTCGGTGATCGCGCTACCCAACTCTTGTCAGCGCTCCAATCGCCTAGCTCTGTCTAGTAGTTGTATTGCTCAGTTCTCAGCAGCTGCATATCCAACATTCTCTCTTTATGCATCCTCTAAGAAAAAAAAAGAGGGGAGAAGGATTAGCACGACACTATGTAGAAGTAATTTTTATTCCGAAGGGACAGAGTTAAAGTACATGAAGAGTTGATGCTATGCATGATAGTACATTGCCGAAGTGACATAAATACTCCAGATTGAAAGAGCAGCCTCGTGTTTCAACTCTCGATAGTCTCATTGCCCAACTCTCAATAGTCGTGTTGCTCGTCTATCGCTAGCAGCTCGCTGCTTGGCCCTCAACAACCTTGTTGATCATCTCTCGATAGCAGTCTCGCTACATTTCACTTGACAACAGCTACATTATCCAACTCTAAGTAGCATCACTGCGTAACCCTCGACAAACAGCCAAGACAGCAAGGCACCAATCGTAGCTATAGCTAGTGATGCAGCAAAGCATCAAGTGCCATTGCACTTTGGCCCGAACTGATCCCCGAGCCAGATACATAGATTGTCGGCCGCTACGCCCAACTCTGCGAGGTTCAGTACCCTCGCCCTAAGTCGCCTGGCTTCTCAGCCCGACTCCATTATAGTGGAAAGCTCCGCATGCGAGGTTCAGTACCCTCGCCATGAGTCGTCTGGATTCTCAGCCCGACTCCATCATAACGGCAAGCTCCACATGCGAGGTTCAGTACCCTCGCCATGAGTCGTCTGGCTTCTCAGCCCGACTCCATCATAGCGGCAAGCTCCGCATGCGAGGTCCAGTACCCTCACCATGAGTCGTCTGGCTCCTCATCCCGACTTCATCATAGCGGCAAGCTCCGCATGCGAGGTTCAGTACCCTCGCCATGAGTCGTCTGGCTTCTCAGCCCGATTCCATCATAGCGGCAAGCTCCGCATGCGAGGTCCAGTACCCTCTCCATGAGTCGTTTGGCTCCTCAACCCGACTCCATCATAGCAGCAAGCTCCGCATGCGAGGTTCAGTACCCTTGCCTCAGGTCGCCTGGCTTCTCAGCCCGACTCCATTATAGCGGTGGGCTCCGTATGCAAGGTTCAACATCCTTGCCTTGAGTCGCTTGGCTTCTCAGCCTGAATCCATCAGCAGCATGCTCCACCAACGAGGCTCAAAGGCACACAACCTTTGCCTATATGATTCTACGTGATGCTCTCCCGCGTGGCATCCCTATGATAGTTGGCTGCTAAGCCCGATCCATTCCACACGATGCTCTCTTGCGTGATAAATCTACGATCGCTAGCAGCTAAGTTCGATCTGTTACACACGATGCTCTCCCGCTTGACATCTCCATGATCGCTAACTGCTAAGCCCAAGTTATTCTTTCAAGTCGCACATCATAAGTTGCGTATCGCCGCGTACCATGAGTCACGCATCACAAGCCTGTCCCACGCTTTACATCGCACTCTCGGTGTTTCCTCTCTCACACTCATCATGGTTCTCTTGTGCTCGGACGGTCGATGAAGCATTCTCCACACCGCATCCTGCTATAGTGAGGTTATCTTTCAGCAAGAAGATTATCACGACAACATCCCTACTACCTACAACCCCTCAGCATCTCTGTTGCATGGCCCTCAATGGTTCCTTGCTAGGCTTTCCCTACCTATAGCCTCACTGCTTATACCTCAGCATCTCAGAAACGATCTCGCTTCGCAGCCCCTACCTGTAGCCTCGCCGCACATCCCTCAGCATCCTTGTTGTCTGGCTCTCAAAAACGGTCTTGCTATGCAACCTTAACCTATAGCCTCACTGCTTATCCCGCAACGATTCTATTGTCTGGCTATTGGCAATAGTCTCGCCGCGTGATTCCCTCTACCAACCTAATCGCCCAACGCCTGGAACCTCTACCACCTGTTACACGGTCAACAACCTTATGGCTGATCGGTTTGACAACATCCATCTCGTACAAAGAGTTTTGTCACTTCATCGTGAATTGACATAGCAACCTTGCCTTATTTGTCATAGTCTGATCCGGTTACCTACGCCACCCACATCAGACTAGGGGGGGGGGGAATCAAGTTAGGTATAGCGTACTTTGGAGACACCTTCAGGACGGTTATTAATTCAGACTGTGTAGATGGTCATCGGCGACATTCCATATAGACTAATAGCAACAACTGCATCGGATAACGATCTTAGGGACTGTATGGCGAGGTTACGCTTCTTAGCTACCCCGACCCGACATTCCATCGCCATCAGTGTCGCGTAAAACTCTTCAGCAGCCGCGGTCCACATGATCGTAGCAACAGTTATGTTGCATCGCACCGATCAGCTCTCACACCTCTCAAGAAAGGAGTATCAAGTCAGCTTAAGCAGTACTTGGCTCATCGCACAACCCCACGGCTCTCGTGGGCGAGGTTCGGTCGTTCTCTCTACTATTGAATGTATTGGTGCTTTATCTAGTCCGATCCGATTGTCAGCAACCCAATCGCACCGGACTAGGGGGACTTGACGACGCACAGTTTATTTATTTGACTAAGTCCAGTCCGATGTCATTGGCCACGTACCAATAACATCAGACTGGGGGGGACTTGATGATATATGGTCCATTAGCA